CAGTCGCTTTGAGTAGTAAGCCACTGGTCTCAGCCGACCATACTTGTCAGCCTGCGATAAACAACCCCCCAATGCATAACCGGAACAATCGGCTTCCATCACTGTGTCCCGCTCAGGATCCCATTGCGCTAACACCGGCTCCGTGGAAAATATCTTCTTCAGTCTTTCAAACGCCTCATTTTCCTCAGGTCCCCATCTCCAAACAGAATTCTTCTTCGTCAATTTGGTCAGCGGTGCAGTTATTTCTGAAAATCCATCCACAAAACATCGATAGAAATTTGCGAACCCCAGAAACGAGCGAACTCCTTTTACAGATGTGGGCGCTTTCCATTCCAGAATACTCTTAACCTTTGCAGGGTCTACGGTCACCGAATCTCCAGCTCTGACGATATATCCCAAGTACTTAACTTCCCGACAAAGAAAATCGCATTTATCTATGTCCAAGTACAGGCCGGCCTTTTCTAGCTTGCCCAAGACACTTTGCACTATCTTCCAGTGGTCTTCCTCGCTCCCATCTGTATAGACTAATATGTCATCCATATATGCGGTCGCATTAACATCAAGGTGTCCTCGGAGCTGCTCATTGATGTATCGCTGGAATGTTGCAGGTGCGTTTGCAAGACCAAATGGTGTAACAAGCCATTCAAAAAGGCCATGGCGACACCTGAAAGCGGTCATCCACTCATCTCCCTCCCTCACTCTGATACGATGGAATGCTGACTTCACATCTAGCTTTGTGAACCACCTAGCCTTCGATAGCTGTCGCAAAGTTTCTTTAAATAGTGGAAGCGGATATCGATCTGGAAGGGTAATTGCATTCAGCCCGCGGTAATCCACACAAAATCTAAGCCCTCCGTTCGGCTTCCTGGCAAAGAGGACTGGCGAGGCCGCTGGCGAACTACTGGGTCTAATCCATCCCTTACCCAAAAGTTCAGTCAACGTCTTGCGCAACACCAGTAGCTCCTCTCGCGACATGCTGTATAAAGGACCCCATGGTGGTTGAACTGATTTTCCATTTTCATGTCTAAGGTTTATGGCATGGTCGAGGTGACCTCGCGTCGGCGGTAGATCATCAGCGCCGCTGTCGTCAGCAAAGAGGCGCGCAAATTTCTTCACTGGGTCCGGCAATCGGTTTCGAGCTTCAGAGATCTTGAGGCAAGTCTTCGTACGGAGTGCCTTGTTTATATCGTCTAATGAAGCTTTGCAGACCGGAACTCCATTTTCAAGGCAAGACAATGCCTCCACAGCTGCAACTTTCGGCTCCTTAATCGATCTAAACTTGTGCCGCCAGCGCTTAACACTGTAAACAGAACCACCGCTTCTTCTGAGTTCCAGGCGCTGTTCTTTGGAGTGAATGATTGCATCCTGGTCTTCTAACCACTTCTTACCCAGTATCATCGGATGAGTACTGTGTGGAACTACATACAGCAACAACTCATCAGTAACGTAGCCGTCAAGATCTATAGAGACCCAAGTGATACTTTTTACGATTGGTTTGTCTTCTGATGAATCCTCTGCTGTTTGAAGAGCTCTGGGAGAGATGGGCTTGAGCGGTAGATTAAGTTGAGCTGCGAGTGCCTCATCAATAATTCCTGAACAGAGGCATCCATTGTCAACTAATGCTTGCACCATAGTGACGTCGTTAACTAATGCATTAACTAAAAATGGATTTGTATTCATCATCGGTTCTTGTTCAGCTGCTGTCAAACTTTTTGAAAACTTTTTATCCAATATTATTGGCTGCACAAAATCTTTCCTTTCTTCTTGAATCAGTCTATCACTAGTAATGGCATTAATAAGGGGTGGCGATGTGTTCTTTCTCATTTCATGATCTGTAAGACAGCTCCCCATGACAGACCTCTTGGCTGACCAACCCATTGTTTCTCCTCGATCTCTTATTTGCTGAATTTCGATAGGACGGTTTATGAGTCTCGGAGAAATGCTATACGGATCCAATTCGTACACTGCCGGATCAATAGGACCTAGACCATCATCATACGGATCCACTTCGTAGACTGCCGGATCAATAGGACCTAGACCATCACCTTCCGGATCCAATTCGTACACTGCCGGATCAATAGGACCTAGACCATCATCATACGGATCCACTTTCATATTTTTTTTATAAATATGTAAACTTTTCTTAGTCTTTCGTGGATTAATTGCTGGAAGAAGGTGGCACACCCTAGATTGACATCCCCGTTTCTCACATCTGAAGCAGCTTCCTTCTTTCCGAAGCTTAGCTAGCTGATCTTCTGATTTCCATGTTGCCCTAAGAAAATTGTTTTCCTCCATAGAAATGTTGCAATGATCCCACTTCATCTTTGCAAAGTTGATTGACTGCAATTCTGACTGACTGACTGATTGACTGACTGACTAACTGACTGACTGACTGACTGACTGACTGACTGACTGACTGACTGCGATTCTGACTGACTGACTGCGATTCTGACTGCGATTCTGACTGACTGACTGCGGTTCTGAAGTTAGAGGAGAGAATTATAATATGTCACGGTTTCAGTACAAAATGCTTGGGCGATCTTGTAAGTACAGTATATTAATTATAATTCTCTGGAGAGAGAATTCCTCGATGTAAAGTCTACATATATATATATTCTAAATTACTGCCCATCAAGATGATTCTCCCTGTGACCTGAATAATTGAGCCGCTTCTACAACTACCTAGAAGGTTCTCGGTACACCTGTTATCCTCATGAACCTTCAGTGTGTTTCCAGAAGGTTCACTGAGAATATTCGAAGTTCTGTGGCTTCCGAGACCTTCCCCTTGTGCCATAGCCTACGCTAGCCAGCGTTGGCTACAGGAGTCTTTCGGCTTAACAGCCGTCACACATGACAAGACTAGGCCAGTAGCTCAGCTTATTTTACCTCTTATCAGATGGTACCCGTAATAGTAGCTTATTTGATTGGCTGAGAAGGTCTGAAACATCCAATGTCTTTAAGTAGAAGTAAAATTCCGACAAAGTATGAGTATTTACAAAATCTCTGACAAATAGTTGTGATATAAGAATGTTGCATGCTCCATCTCATCGGCAGATGAGCAACTGGTTGGATTCCAGGGTGGACAGAAGCGCTGCTGCTTCCATTCCAAATACACAACTGGTGTTACAGGCTGTGATGGGCGATCAACAAAACAATATAGTAAAGGAATGGTGGCCGATTACTGTCTATTTTCTACATACATCTCGGAACTGACCACCGAGGGGAGGCTACTTAAGGTGTCCCAACTCCCAATGCGATAACCTCACTATCTATTCGACTACACCATATCCTTGATATTCCGAGTGGGCTCGTCATAGCGAAACTGGGTCGTATCGGCCCATGATTCCATATGAGACTTGCTGCAACAATATCTTGTTTCCATATTTGTTGCAGCAAGTCTCATATGGAATCATGGGCCGATACGACCCAGTTTCGCTATGACGAGCCCACTCGGAATATCAAGGATATGGTGTAGTAGAATAGATAGTGAGGTTATTGCATTGGGAGTTGGGACACCTTAAGTAGCCTCCCCTCGGTGGACAGTTCCGAGATGTATGTAGAAAATAGACAGTAATCGGCCACCATTCCTTTCCTATATTGTTTTGTTAATCGCCCATAACAACTGGATATTAATTAGACCGGCCCTAAATTCAACCCCTGCAGCAACCAATCCATTGCTTGACGGACCGTTGTATATGCTTGAGGCTAGTGTTCAGTGCAGCTGACACAATAAAAACAAGCCAACGATGGAAGGTGTTGTGGTCCGCCTCCTGGTGGTGTTCTCTGGTATGGTTTGAGTAGCCTGGGCACCTACTCCACTTGGGAAAGAGACACATCAGATCACATATCGCGCGGAGAAAAGGTGAAAGATGACTGAGGCATGTCTGGATAACTCAGGGTTTCTGAGACGTTCCCCTGGGTGGGTATTCACGGATGAGGGTTGACTTGGGGTGAAGAAAAAGCCACCATAACTTCGCAGTGGTACTTGCAAATGAAATCTGAGGCATGAGTGCTCTTCCTTTACGTTGAATTATCTATTCTGTACTTTTCTTTGATATTGTGTCATAGCTAGATAGCTGCATACGCAATTAAAATCTGATGCAAAAAAAAAAAAAGAAGCTAGTGTTCGTTTTTGAAGAGGAGTAATATTGATCTTGAAATTACATTTAATAGATTTAATCTTGTGCACTTCAAATTTGATTCATTTAGACAGTGAGAGATAAAACCATCTACATCTAGCTAGAAAATAGAATCCTGACTGGAGAAGAAAAGAATCCTAGAGGACTTGGGAAATTGTTAGTGTAGGTTCATGCCAAGGCTTTAATCAATGGAATTTTGCGAAATGAGTCGAAGAGACAAGATTTAGGGGGGGGATGCTTCTTGCCCAGCTGTTCAGGTTCTACTAACGTCAATCCATCTAGTTCCTCTGCCTCTTCAAGTCTGAGGCAATACGGGTGGGCTCCATCCTTCAGGGCGTAGGCCGCTAAGATGGCACCAAATTTTTCTACTCAAAATTACAAGACTCCTTCAACATCTAGACGGATTTGGCTTAAGCTGGAATTCGGCCATGAATCTTCCTATGATACTAGCAAGGTTTAGCATTCATACCATCTCTCATCATATGTCTTAGTCAAGTTTCTTACATTTCACTTTGAATCGGAGCTTTAATATCACAGTCTACGGTCAAAATAACTCAACGCTAAATTACTGATACCTAGCAAGAACTCATAGGGCGATATGTGGTAAGCATTTTTTTCAACTGGAATTAAAAATCATGTCATGTGTTTAAGAAAGATTATTCCCTCTAACATTCCAGCTTCAGTTCACAAACCTCGCCATTGATTCCAATATTAATCGAAGAAAAGCAGTTCAGACTCTCACATAGCTCCTATTATTCCTCTCTTGCTAAAGGCTGATTAACTTGAGAGATCAAAAATATCGACAAATCTAGTCACTCCACCAAAATATAAGCAATATTTACTAGACACAACAACTGCAATATGAAAATCTTGAGCCTTATTTCATCCGTGGCAATTTTAAGTCATCTGACGCCTGGAATCGAAGCTCTCAATTCAAATTATAGATGTCTCCACAAGGTCCTTGGTTCGCGTACCATCGACAATGTTACTGCAGATACAATTAGACATTTTAAAGACAAACTTAGTGAAAAATGGACCCCCCAACAAGAATTTGCTAAAACAGCTATTGACCTCCAAATAAAGGATGATTTAGGTATCAAGTTCCATTCTTAAAAAACATTATTTCCTTTTAATTTTTGTCTCCAGGAATTGTCGATATCAAGATTGAAATGGTCATGAACTATCAGGGGAAAATATTGAGCATGAGGGCTCTCGCTCTGGACAAAGTGTATCCTTGTAGTCCAACACAAGACGCGCCTGATTTCAATACGCCACTACGACCAGATGCGTAGTGGACCCTATGGCCATGTTTAGAAGTTTGCGGTAGAGCTTTAGCAGGGGTTTATCTTGTTCACTATTCTCACTTAGGCATAGACACCTTCCACATTGTTCTTAGCCCGCGCATTTGTACAAATTAATGGAAAATTCGAAAGGCAATTCTCATCTAAACTCCTTGTTACTAATTCATTCATTGTGATGTTTGAGTCCGTAACTATGTCGGACATGCAGGCCCTCTCAACCTTCAGGTCAAGGATACCTATGCCAGTAGTATATCCCCTCCTTTGCCTCACCTACAGCTCCCATCAAACATTAGTAACCCCCCACAAGCTTTCATTCCGTCATGCACTGAGAGGAGCCTTCATCCTTCAATATCTCCCCTCTCCAGCCAACGAAACAATGACGATCTACGCGGTATTGCAGCCCGGAAAAATTGCATAGAACCACTCAGTGCAGGATAATCTCAGTACCCATGTATGAATTAAATCCGAGCTTATGGCTGTTGAAATATGATATATCTTGGAATGCCAATAATTCCTTTTTTTTAAATCATTTTATGTGCATGCAGCTATAGAGCTATGACTTGTGACCGGTGCTTTGTATGCATATTGGATGACTCTTTTGGCGGTAGTGACACTCATACTCTGGATCTCATTCGCAAATACCACTATGAGGTATGTTCGCTGACATAAACTGTCGACCCTCCTCCGTAAGTACCCACCAAAGGGGCGTTTCAAAACCTTTGATTATCCAAGCATGCCTTCGTCATCCATGTATACCAGCGCCGCGAGAGAAGTGGTTGTGTTTTGTTGGAAATTCAGACTCTATGTGTCTGAAGTTTCCCATGATTGGGACAACTAAGATTCTCACACATGACTCACGACCTAGATGATTAATAACTCCCTTACTGAGCATGTTTGATGCTTGAGACTCGACTAGTGCATGGTATGGTCTGATACACGTGTAGGCTTTCATCCACCGACCCTGACCCCGTACTCATATTGTATACTGTCGTGCGTTTCATTGTCATTGTTAGAGTATGGAACGAGTGATGGATGGTATCTAGTCTGGATTTGGTATATCAAGATTACATGTATGTAAGCTGTCTAGGAATCACTAAGACAGATAATCTAATCAATTCAATTTATTCAAACCATCTTTTATTTCTCCACAGTTTATCACATATTCTCCCGATTCATATCATTATTATTCTATTCATAAAAATCGCGCCCATATTCTTTGAGCCGCCTTACTCATCGAACCCATACCGGTTTTCCAACATGTTTTGCCGGATTTGAAGCAGCGGTCTACTGTCTCGAGCGGAATATGAGTCCAAGCTATCCAGACTCTATTTGGCAGACCGGCCAAGACGATGTACCACCGCACCATCCAACCATGGCCGTGTTTATTATGTCGCCCGCACTCTCGCAACCGGAATCTTGGCACACACAAAGCTTAATTTGTAAAAACTCCATGCCAAAATTCGGAATTTCACGCCCGTCAAGATTGCAGCCATCCTCTATATCATCTTGTAAACTTGTCCTGATTCCTCTTGTGCCCATCCCAAAGAACTATCTCCTAGATTTGTGCGCCACGCTTTGTTTCTTCCGTCGGGTATAAATATCGGCGTGGGCGTGTATCTCGCAACCAGCTGAGGCCAGAGAGTGTCAACAAGAGTTGTGATCATTGGAATGAGGATGTACTAGGTCGTACTTGTAGACTTGATGAGGCTCGTGTAGGAAAGGATTTCGTTGGGAGTGAAAGATTGACATGGTGGAGTATTTTGAATCATTGCGTCGTGGGCCGACTTGTTCGATAATGCGAAATTTGACTGAAATTGGCTCTGGGAGAATATTTCACTCCCAGGTCCGTAGAGGACAACGCGTACAGGTGTTCAGTCCTGCCCTACCCAAGAACAACTTATTGGTAAGTCTGGCTAATTAGACTTTCAAATTCCCCATCCCATATCATTGTCATTGATACATCCCTCACTGAAAGTCTAATGCGCATTGGCATTCATTTCACAAGAGCATTCCAGCGGATGACTATGTCTCAAATGCAGCTTACATGTTTCTCGGATCTATTACCGACACACATGTATTTAGCTCTATTTAAGGGCTTGTCCCTCATCATCTATGAGAGCAAAGTTAGAAACTATCCAGTTAGAACATGAAAATTTAGCTAGCATCTAATGTAGATTCTAGGAGTCCTCCATAGTCATAGACTCAGTTAGGACTATAATCTAATCTAATTTAGCTTTATATTCCTGGCTTACATATGTGTGTGTACATAGATATACATCTACAGAAATTAAAACTTGCGATCCATGGAGATGAATGAATACTGGTCAAAAACCACAGTTGATAAAATATGCGCACACGCAATCTCTCTTTTATCATCTCGGTTTTACTCAGAACCATACCTCTCAATACAATCGTTTCCGCTCATAACTTCCTTCTACAACTTCATAAAAGACTTACTGTATCGGTCCCACTGCCGACACTGGTTCCGCTCTAACCTTCATCTTTGCTCAAGCTCATAACTTTAACAATGGTTACCATGGGTTACGCATTGAGTTATTGAGCAGCAGAAGGTGTAACCTATGAGGCCTAAGTTGCTCTGGTTACTATGATGTATCTATAGATTGGACAGAGCCGCTGACGATGGTTACATCATGTCTTCCGTTCTAATTTCCCTCGTCCCTCGTCGTTGGCTTTAGTTACAATTACGAATTCGTACCTTTGACCCTTGCGAACTTCGTTAGATTTTACTCATATCTCTTAGTAACCCTCCCGACGCTACCTTTGGCAACCTCGAGTTTGACACTCGGGAAGTGTTGTAAAGGTAAGAGCTCACGGAGGTTAATTGACAGAAGCTTCACGGTTGATTATTGACGAATCAATGTGAACTGCTGATTTTTTTGATATTCAGAACTGAGGGTTTAGAAGGTAGAAAGCGCTGATTATATACACGTCTGAGTTAGCTAGAATGTCGCCTTATTTTTCCAAAACAGTATTATTGAAGGGTTGTGATGTATATGGTTGTATACACTTGGTATCTTCAATTGAATGGTTGTAACTACTTAGGGGGCTTAGAATATACTTGGGTGATTATGGCAATAAATGGTACGGGATGCGAATGGTATCTTATTGTGTTATTATTGTTATGCTATTTATTTATTTATTTTAGTTTTAAGTCCTAGGCTGTAACCTTCAATCTATTTAGATGTAGGACCGGTGGAGCCGGCTGAGATTTAACCTTAAGGCTTGCCCTACTCGTTCACACCCATTTTAGAGCTAGTAAATCATGCGCTCGTTGAATAAATAATGTAGTGAAGAAAAAGAAAAGAAATAATCAAAAGAAATAATCAATGGTTTTGAGTCAGCAATCCTCATCCTGAGCTCTCCTCCGCCAGCGTATTTGCCCTGGCATTCATCCTAAAACCCGTCCTTGCGTTCAGCCCAGAACTAGGATGCGTCCAGCCTACCGAAGTAGCTTGTAACCCATGCAAAATTTTTAAACTTCTCTAACCTTTTATGTCCGAGGAGTTGCTTGGTAAAAGCATCTAAGCTCAAGTCTTTTCTAAGTTTACGCGTCAGAATATTGTATCTCCGACAGCGTGTGAAGTGGGTGGGCGTCTTTTCTAGCCCACAGCTACAAACTAGATTTGAATCTTCGTGCTTGAAGCGACGGTGGTACGCCGCAAAATCCCCATGCCCTGTTCTCGCAGCAATGAGTTCGTGTAGTAATCTCCGTGGCAACGAAAGTTCTGGAGGTTTACTTCATCGCATTTGCAGGTCCAAGTCTTGGTATCGAGCTGGACAAGCTGGACGAGCAGTTGACCACCATTTGTCTATCAATTCTTGTCGTCGCTTTTGCATAAGACGTCGAAGGTTAGCAAGACTGATATAGCTGGGTTGTTTCTGGCTGTCCGAAAGTAATTTTAGTGCGGCCCGAGCTTCTTTGTCAGCCTCCACGTTCCCCTCTATGTTTGAGTGTCCTGGGACCCATCTGATTTCTGCGTTGGATCTTTGCACAGCATCATGACAGATGCGAATTAAGTGGCAGGTAGGGGACGAATTTATTGTTATGCTCTATTACAGGTTATCTACATGATAATTAACCAATCCCACATACTTCCAGATAGCGCCGTAGCTAGTCTCTTTTAGGAGTAATCTATGGGTGAGTGTAGCAATCGGTGGTATCTAATTTATCACTAACCTGTTTCCATTTCCCTGACTCTGCTTGCTATACTACGTGGATGACGATTTAATACTGATGTGAAAAGAGCAATCATGACAAGTATCACTGAATATTCTGGTCTCCTCCATCTGGTAGTATATCTAGAAACACTTTCCATACAGTGCTCCATTGTTCCTCTACTCATCATGGAGCCACCTGAAAAGTTCTTCCTCCACCCTCAGTGATCATTTGTCGACGGCTAAGAATAACCACCGAAGAAGTTGGACAGGGAAATGTCTCGGGTCACAAATAGGGACTGTCCATACGATCGTGGGTTGTTTGTTTCGGTCAGTGCCTGCATTCTGTATTTAGAACTGCAGGTTATTCTATTCCTAGCGCATGTCTATATTTAGAGATCAAGTTAATCATGATCATTGTATATAGTCCTAGAATTCTGGGAGAAATAGGAATCAAGTTGTTTTTACTGAGTTATATTTTACTTTAATTACTTACACTTCGCCTGTCACAGGTCAGGCTCCCAGTTACCTGACATCATTACCCTTGTGCATCGTTATCCCAGTCATCACCAGCACAACAGGAAGTCCGCGCACACACTCTTTCTAGCCTCCGTCCAACCCTTCATCAATGCTCATGCCGAAATGTCAGAAAAGTTATGATACAGTAGGATTTATGCATAGAAGCTTAGCTCAACTTCTCTGGCGGCGTTCAGTGGTCTGGTGATTGCCGTTGACTCATTGACAATAGAAATCCACCGGCCTAATTTGCCGTAATCTCGGTCTTGGTGCCTACAAACGTTCCAAGGTCGAAAAAG